TCGGATCACTACAATCATCAGGTCGAATCCCTAGGTTGAAGATAAAAGACAGAAATCACCAAAAAGATTGGTTTATTGCGTACAGAATTCCCAATTACTGTCTCAGGCGACAGTGGCCACCGGCGAAGTCAGGGCTAGTGTTGACTACGTCCAGCCAGACCTGAGAGAGTGAGACAATAGTGGCAGCTGCTTAAGTAGGATTGCGGAGCAGGTTCAAGTGGTTTGCTATTGGTGTGTTGCAATTTTCTCGAGTAGATTTTGCCTGTAGGGGTCTTTTCTGCATCGGCCGAGGGGTGGTTTGTTCAATTGGCCCTTAGACGTGCTTATTTGAACGCACGTGTATACGCGGGCATGTACGCACGTGTGTACATGACTGAATAAGCTGAGGTCAACTGTGGGGGTCGCCGGAACGCCGAAAAACGCTGGCGCAGCTGTCATCAGTTAGCCAGAAGCAGCTGCGAAGTCAAGCCTCGGGAGGTGGGGGCGCCAGTGAAAGAAAGTATTGGAACAGTTGTTTGTGACGACGCATGACTTTGGTGCAACGAACCTTGGAGAACGAAGGAGGAACAGGGATTTTGGCCGTCCGCCACAGGACAACAATTTTATTCGCCTGACGTTTCGACATCCCAAGCGAATTCTTCATCAGAGACCTAAACAGAAAGCAGCAGCCCTAATGCCGATCCACATTTTGAAGTCTGTACAGGGTTTTTAAACCCTATTATGAATTATGCGATCACTTACTCATGCTGTAGGGAGATGTGTGCCTTAACTTACGCAGAATGTACACAACATTTAGCTTGGAAATCTAGAATTCACGTGTAACGGCTGGTGGGGTTGAACGTTTTTTGGCAATTTAGACACTTTTTTAAAACCATACTATGTCCTCTTTTCAGGTGTGAATTTTAATGAAAGCGTAATTTTATACTAAACCATTAAAAGAAACGATATTTCTGCACATGTGTGTTATAAACTAAATTTGAACTTATCCTGGCGTTGAAAAGTAATGTGAAAAAAAGGCATGTGACTGAATTAGCTATTTATTGCATCATTATTCCTGCAGGCGGTCTAAACCCGGCGTCCTAGCGTGACTGTAAGACAATCAGTATTACAACCCTAATTAAGTTATTTGTTTTCGAATTTAAAACATACTTTAGGAATGTTGATTGTCATTTCATAAGATAAGGAATTCACTATGTATCCATCAGAAAGCCTAATAAAAATATACAATATTCATATCTTCTTATCTTAAAAATTACTGGGATTCACCGAAAAAAATGGAATTGCCGTTGTCAAAGTTGGTATGTCTGAAAATTCGTGAGTAGAGTACTGTCCGTTTTGACGATGTAGGGGCCTAGTTTAGTCACACCAGTATCCTGGACAGTATTGCAGCAAGATTAATTGGCTGTTGATAAAAATTAAGCAGATGACCAAGATTGTTGACCGTCCTCGTAGCCCTCGCTTGGACTCGTTCCAGGTGCAGGTTATCTTTCTTAAACCACCGACACCAGGCCTGGACGGTATAATCCAAGTGGGAACGAACAAACAATCCGTACGTTTTTCTGAAGAGTTCCTTATCGATCTAAACAAATCCTCGTCTTGGCGCAAACAACACCTCTGTCGCGCGTTTAGCTGCCTTTAGACACTGTGAAAACAATTTAAGTGAGGAGGTTATTAAGACGCCGAAAACATTCTGTTTGTCAAGATTTAAAAGGGGCTATCCATCGAAAGGGTATTGGGAGGAATCATCCTCCTCATTGGTTCTTCTAGTACGCAGCCTTAAAACCACACACTTACTAACGTTGACATTTAAAGGCCAATGAGCAGGACACCTGCTAAGCCTATTGCGACTCTCTTGAAGTGCTTGCCTATCGGCGTCAGACCTGCTGGCTCTCCAGAGTTTGATATCGTCAGCAAACATGATAGCACTGCAACCCAGGTCGTCGACGCAGTTGTTGATATAGAGTAGGAAAAGCAGTAGCCATAAAACGGAGCTTTCAGGCACACCACTTGAAACCGGGGTAGGGTTGACTACTCTGCAGCCGGACGGGACTGAAAGATATTAATGAGACTATAATATAATCAGTATTACAACCCTAAGTTCTTCGAATCGAAACTACACTTCGAAATTTGGTTGACATTTCATGAGGTAGGAAATCTCCTGTACGTCCATAAGGAAGTCTTGTAATAACTCACTGCACATGTCTGTATCAGCTGTGAACGGGCCTAGTTGAGCGACTGATTAATATGAACAGCATTTAGCAAAATTACTCAACTGCTGACAGATATTAAGTAAGGTTTATTGTGTGCCTTAGTTACTACTGACGCAACCGAAGCTTTTCCGCTACTGCATGAACAACCTCATTCTGCCCTCGCTTGTTTG